AGTGACAGCATTTAATTTATGATAATTGTATTATAATAATTCATAACCATACTCAAACTTCTGCTTTTAAGCTGTTAGGCATGCAAAAACACTGTTATAATGCCAAATAAAATCAATACCAACTACTCAAGATTTATAGATGTGTTGCAGATAACTTGGTATGAGAAAAGGTAGATTATACTTTCAAAATATAAACATGACTTTAATGTGACAAATTTTAAATAAATTATCATTAATAACTGAGTCTGTTACTTCACTATTCTATTTTTCAACTTGTTGAATTTCAACAACAAAAACAGGGAAAAAAGTAGAATGTACCTGATAAAAATGCAGATAGATAGGAATGTTTTTTCAGGAGAATAAATTCAAATTATTGAATAAATGACTCTTCATTGAATATTTTATTTATCTCTAAAAGATATTCTGTTACATTCTATTACTGTTTTAGATGTCAATAGTCTTCAAACATAAATATCATTATATAGAGCCATTCTATTTCTAGGTATTTATTTTATTGGGTGCAAAGTATGATATTTTATCATTATAGCATGCGTATATAGCATAAAAATAACAACAAGGGAGATGTTCAGCTATAGAGAATTAATAACTACTTTCTGGTGTAGGTATATAATAAACTTTATTCAGACTTTAAAGATGAGGTGGAAAAATAATTAAGTTTTTTTTCAGCATTTATTATTAGTTTAAATGTATTTATCAAGTACTTCTGCTATAGAATATCTTCAGAAAAATCTCCTATAATGAAACTTAAAACACTCAATGTCTAACATTTAAATATAACAGCATATAAACCTCTAAGTGGAGCTGCTAATGCATGACCACTTCTCCAGCATGTGTCGCTCCAATATACTGCGAAGGAAATAGTCATTGGCGAAGAGTTAGTAGTAAATACAAAGATCTCTGATTAAATGTAAATCACTTATTTATATAATAACTGTAATAAGTCCAATGATGAAAAATATTAGTTACAGTATAAAAGAGTTTAACAAGGAAACTAATGTATTTTGAGGCTAACATTTCAGCTGAGACCTGAAGAAGCGGTAAAAACTTGCCGGTTGAAATTTAGAAGGAAGAATAGTCCAGGCTAAGGAAGCACCATGTGGAAAGGCCTGAGTCTTGGAGCCAGAGCGTTTGGTTGCAATGGTGTGAGCTCTATGATCCAATTCTATAAAATTATACAGATAAATATTTGAGAGGATATTAGCACCCTGAGTGGTAGGCTTATTAACTTTTCTATACAGGTATTTGACTTGCATTTCAATGAATCTATATTGCTTTAGTAATGATAGAAAGCACTTTTGGGGTGTTAAGAAAAGGCATTCAACATTTATATGGAGTATATGTAGCCCCTATATGCTCTCATGGCCTTATGCTTCCTTCCGGAATAACATTTATCAACCATGTTAAGATGAACATTGTAGTCACGTGTTACCAAGAGGAGACTGTGACGTCCTTGAGGACAGGAACCATGTACTCACCTGCAGAACTGCCATACTCACTGTAACTTACACCATCATTTTTTGTACTTGTCCCTGGGCTCAGATTTTCAAGGTTGAATCCCAAGTCTATGATTTACTAGCTGCATGTCTTTGCATAGATTACACAATCTCTATAAGGCCTTTTTTCCTCCTATGTAAAATGGAGATAATATTAAAACCTATAGTGTAGATATGTTCTGTGAGTTAAATAAGATGAGGTAAATAAAGTGCTTAGCAGAATGACTGACACATATTAAATGGTCAATAAATATTTTCAACCATCGCAACTGGTCACCATCATCAATCTACAATTTAAAAAATTCTCTTCAACAGTCTCTAAAAGGATACACAGAAGTTCTACTACTATTGCTACTAAGCCACTAAAGTTTTATGGTCATAATTCTTTTGTTAGATTTCTATATTTGTGTTGCAGGAAGTAAGGGATCCCGAATGGAGGGACCGACTGAAGCTGCGGCAGAAGAACATAAATTGTGATGATTTCATGGACATTTGTTAGTTCCCCAAATTAATACTTTTATAATTTCTTACACCTGTCTTTACCGCAATCTCTGAACATAAATTGTGAAGATTTCATGGACACTTATCACTTCCCCAATCAATGCTCTTTTGATTTCCTATGCCTGTCTTTACTTTAATCTCTTAATCCCGTCATCTTCCTAAGCTGAGGATAAATGTCGCCTCAGGACCCTGTGATGATTGCGTTAACTGCACAAACTGTTTGTAGAGCATGTGTATTTGAACAATATGAAATCTGGGCACCTTAAGAACAGGATAATAGCGATTTTCAGGGAACAAGGGAGATAACCTTAAAGTCTGGCTGCCTATGGGCCAGAGAACTTTCTTTGGTTCTCTTCTTTCAAAAGCAAATAGGAGAAATATCATTGAGTTCTTTTTCTCAGCAAGGAAAATCCCTGAGAAAGAGAATGCTTTCCTAGGGGGAGGTCTCTGAAATGGCTGCTCTGGGAATGTCTGTCTTTTATGGTTGCAGATAAGGGATGAAATAAGCCCTGGTCTCCTGTAGCTCTCCCAGGCCTATTAGGATGAGAAAATTCTCTCCTAATAAATTTTGGTCAGACCGGTTGTCTGCTCTCAAGTCCTGTCACCTGATAAGATGTTATCAATGACAATGCATGCCCAAAACTTCATTAGCAATTTTAATTTCACCCCGGTCCTATGATCTCACGGTGCCTCAATTTGCCTTGTGATATTTTATTACCTTGTGAAGCACGTGATCTCTGTGACCCACACCCTATTTGTACACTCCCTCCCCTTTTGAAAATCACTAAAAACTTGCTGGTTTTGTGGCTTGGGGGGCATCATAGAACCTGCCAACATGTGATGTCTCCCCCGGACACCCAGCTTTAATATTTCTCTCTTTCCCTTTATTTCTCAGACCAGCTGACACTGAGGGAAAATAGAAAAGGGCTGAATCTCCCGCGATATATTTATTTACAAAACTGAGCACATATTCTCCACCAAGGAACTTCAAATTTAGTAGATTATAATCATTCTAGAATTGTTACAGCATAGAGAAAATTGGGCTAGGAAAGAGGAGATAATAAGGGGGGTAATAAAGAGTGGTATGAAGAAAACAAAACATTCTATGCATCAAATTCTGTACTCTCTACTGTCAGGCCTCTGAGCCCAAGCCAAGCCATTGCATCCACTGTGACTTGCTCATATATGCCCAGATGGCCTGAAGTAACTGAAAAATCACAAAAGAAGTGCAAATGCCCTGCCTCACCTTAACTGATGACATTCCACCACAAAAGAAGTGAAAATGGCCAGTCCTTGCCTTAAGTGATGATATTATCTTGTGAAATTCCTTTTCCTGGCTCATCCTGGCTCAAAAACCTCCCCCACTGAGCACTTTGTGACCCCCACTCCTGCCCGCCAGAGAACAACCCCCCTTTGACTGTAATTTTCCTTTACCTATCCAAATCCTATAAAACAGCCCCACCCTTATCTCCCTTCACTGACTCTCTTTTCAGACTCAGCCCGCCTGCACCCAGGTGAAATAAACAGCCATGTTGCTCACACAAAGCCTGTTTGGTGGTCTCTTCACACGGACGTGCGTGACATCTACCTTACTTAGCTTTTATTTATTTATTTAAATTATAAACATTGTGTTTGGAAAATGTAAAAATTTCAAATATATAAATAGGAAAATTCAAATTATCTTTACTTGTAAGTCAAGTTTCTCACAATATTTTAGTATACTCCATTCCAATATTTTGTTGAATAAAAGAATGAGAGCATAAGTGAAAGATAAGTTTGGTAGAAATTTTATGGAGCCTCAATCTCTCTTCAGAATCGTAATTTATAAAAAGAAAAATTAGAGACAGTACACAGTATTCAAGAATTATTTAGTACTTTAAAAACATAAAAAGTTGTAACAAAAATTTACACAATCTGAATGGATAATTAACAAGAAAACACATTTCAGTGGAAAACAAAATTACTACAAATTATGCTTCTTCACTAGTTATTAAAAAATTTAAATGTTATAAATTTGACTATTGTGAAAGATATATTTTAGTAAGTTTCTGAGTTGTCAAATGCCTGTTAGTACTGGTGACGTAGAGAGTAAACAGTAAACATATGTTGATTGAATGAGTGAGCAAATGATGAGAATGTAAATTGGCAGTAATTTTTAGAAAGAAAATTTGGCAATAACTTTCAAGAACTGAGCATTCTTCAGACTGTTGGACCCAGCAATTTACTATTGTATTTACATTTCAATTTAGGAATGATGTACACACAAACACACACAGAAAATCACGTCTATTATAAATGTACAAATCATTGAATTATCATTGAACACACTTGTGTAACTACTTCCCAGATCAAGAAATGAAACATTACGAACATCTTGGAATCCTTATTCATGCTCTTTACAGTCTCAGCCTGATCACTCTTCCCAAGTGTAAACATCATTCTTACACCAATGGCCAAAAAAATCATCTCAGATGGTCACAGAGTTAGTAAGTGCTAAAAGCTGAAATTTGTCTATGGCTGAAATCCATATTCTTTCCATGATGTCATCCTCTTTTATGTGTGTTGGGGTTCTTTAATGTGCAAAATTGTGTCACAATAGAATATGTAAAACGTGCTTATATTATAAGTAAATAATTGGTATCTGGAATTGGGTTTTTGATATTGTTCAGTGAATGAATACATGGATCACAAGTCAATAAATATTGAGCATCTCCTAATCAGACATGAGTTCAGACGCAGTATATAAAATGGTGAAGGAACGAGGCAAGGCATCACCCTCAGAAAACTTGCATTTTACTAGGCGCAGGAAGAAAATGAACACATAGTAAATAAAAGGTAACATCAGTGTTTGCTGAAAGTCTATAAAGGAAGCAAACATGGTTATGTGATGGGAAGTAATGAAGAGAATCAGTGGAGACGGGTGGTAAACAGGCTATTCAGGTGAAGGTGCTAAGTCAGAAAAAGCCTCTGTGTTTTCTTTTACAGAACAGAGCTGTGCACCTGGAGTCCAGCAAGCAAAAAACAGAAGATGCAGGAGGGTCAGGGCGACTGGAACCGGCCATGCAAAGACTTATAACACTTGGACAGTTGCCTGGATTTAATTCTATGGTTTTATTTAGGAATGCATAATCTGATATTTGCCTATAGAAGATCACTCTTTCTGCTGTGTAAAGAACGGACCATAGCCAATTGAGACTGAAAGCAAGAAACCCAGGGAGGAGGATGTTACTGTGGCCTAGGCAAAACATGTAGTGACTAGACCTGAGAAGGGTGGTCCTGGAGGTGGCAAGTTCAGTGTGGAAGATAGGGCTAACAGCCTGGCTGATGGGTTGGGAGGAATTAAGGATGCTTTCAAGGGTCTGGGCTAGAACAAGTGTATGCATCCCTCTCTGGGCAACATTGTCGTCTAGGGAAAATTACATGATCATGAGAAGTGCCGCAAAAGATAAAAGCTACAACCTTCAAATAAAAGCTATAATTCTATTCTTTAAACATTAGGCAGTCATTGAGCTTTTTCCGTGGACAGCATGACTCATATTCATATTAATGCTGATGTGCATTTTTAAGTGAAAGAGTTTAAAAACAGCACAGAGAGTGTCTCACAGGTGTAAATGCCACTCAATATGTGTGTGTGAGAGAGAGTGGAATAGAGATGTTGTAAAGGCTGTGTGTTTGGGGGCAAGGCAAGGTTGCTAGAAGCAGCTGGCCTAGAAATATCAACAGTGATTTCAGGGATTTGGAAGTTTGGGCCTAATTTGAAAACAGTTTTTTGGATGAAATTATTTATGAATTGATTTACAGTGAAGCAAAAGTATAATTTAGTTTCACCACAGTATGACTAATGTTTGAGGTCTTATTCTAAATTTAAGAATAATAGTTATGGTCTAGAATCTAAACCATAGTTTGATGAAAGCTTTCATTTATATAAAAATTGAGGAGTGAGATTGTAGACTACCCTTTGTGATTATTTTAAGTTTTCTCAAGATGTTGCCATTCCAAAAGGTTGTTGAAAACAGCATGAACAGGAAAACAGCTTAAGGACACCAGTACCTGATACAGTCAAAGATCAGGGTATTTTTAAAACTGAAATAAATGTTGAGGAAGTAGATAAAGTTTATTTTCAGTAGTACTCAGATCTGACACCAATTAATAATATTTTCCAGAAAATAATTCAAACAAAGGATTTATTGGGAAACAACCTAATGCCAAATTTGATTCAATTTAACCATAAGAACTATTTTAAACATAATTTAGTCCAAGACACTTTTTACAAATATAGAGTTACAGTAAGATTCTATTTTTCAGAATAAGTTATTAATCTTGCTGAAAGTAAATAGTTGCAGCAAGGTATTCTCTTAGACTACTTGAGTCCCTCTTTATTCACAAGACATCCACATTATTGTCTGACTTTATAGATCCAGCAAAACAATCAGCTTTTCCTAAATTTTTCAAACTTTTCACTAAGTCAAATTGACCCTTTAGTTCACTAAAACATTCACTCTTTCTTGCGCTGAGAAAGTCACAGACCAAATTTAGCCAAAGATAGTATCTCAAATAACTGACAAATCTTTGCCCCTCCTCATTTAATAAATTCAATGGAATTAAAAACAAAACAAAACAAAAACAAAAAACAAACAAAAAACTAAATTGCAAATGCTATTGCATTGCAGAAAACATGAGTATCCTGCAAGAAGTCAAATAGAAATCCTTTGAAAATGACTAATCAAAAAAAAAAAAAAAAAAAAAAAAAGCGTCGGAGGACCTGCACAAGGTTCCTAAGAATGTTGATTTTCTTCTGCTAGTTTTGAGGTTAAGCCTCATCTGTCTAATGTGACAGAGAATGGCTACTAATTATCACAAACCTCACAGTGCTGGTGCTAAAAGCCAATTTAATTAGCATTTTTATCTGCCCACTTGGACCTTTATTATTCTAGAAAAAAATTTGAAGCAGCAGTGAATTCTAGAAGCTTGAAAAGAAATGCTTTTATTCATTCTGCATATCAGTAAATTGTTCTTCTAGCTCTTGGTTTTTATCTTCTAAATGTATATCCAACATCCAACATAGTAATTTATTCAAAATAAAGATTTCTTTTTGTTTCTTTGGTTTTATTTCATTTTTATTTTTTTAAAATACAGAAGACCAGGTAAAATAAAACCTAGATTCACTTTAGGCATGTTTTAGGTGAATGTCAAGAATTAGCTTAATAGAGAAACAAAGAATTTGGCCTGAAATATAGGTCATGGATTCTAAGTAGAACCTTTTGTGGTGTTATTTCAGGTGGGACAAGAAAGCATCATCTGGTGGTTTTCTTTCCATATAACTACAGTTCCATCAGTGACTGTCCATAATCAGCACCAAGGAATTGCTTCTCTGGATTATTTTCAAATAAAATGACTGTTATACCCAGACCGTTTGTTCCCCAAAGAAGACCACCAGAGTCCAGAGTCAAAGCCAAGTGGCAAGGATCTTTTACTACAAGTTCGAACTTGGTCCCTCCATTCCACAGCATACAAGAGGGCCTCGAACAATGCGAGTGCTTGCTTTTTATAGCTCGATGTAAATAGGATACGTAAAGTTACAGAGGAACAAGGGAATTCTTTTGGTTACAGCATTACAATTGGTTTACATTTTAAGTTATACATTTAGCAGTTTTTCTATTGGTTCCCGTGCTTTCAGTAAAACCACAAACGGCTGTGTCCTTATCGGGGACTTTCCAGGTGGGATGTGTTTGTACTGGGCTCAGGAAGTTGAGAGATATATGGTGGGATGTGTTTGTACTGGGCTCAGGAAGTTGAGAGATATATGGTGGGATGTGTTTGTACTGGGCTCAGGAAGTTAAGAGATATATGATGGGATGTGTTTGTACTGGGCTCAGGAAGTTAAGAGATATATGATGGGATGTGTTTGTACTGGGCTCAGGAAGTTGAGAGATATATGGTGGGATGTGTTTGTACTGGGCCTGTTTGTGTTGAGCCTGGGGCTGAGGAATGTGCCTGATTTCTTTCATTCCCCCCTTTTCTCAGGTACCTCTAGAGCCAATCTTGGGTCTTATAAGTCTGATTCTGTTTCAGCGTTTACAGGCTGGTATTGGGCTCTGAGGACCATGAGCTGTAGGTGTTAAACCTTTCCCTGACAAATTGTAAAATTCTGTTAACAACACAAGGTCCTATGGTAAACAGAAATAGTAGACTTAGCAGGGGTCCAAGGAAGGGGGCTAACAGGGAAAACATAGAGGAATTCCACCATTGGTCTGCAGCTGAAGCAAACTGGCGTGTTTTTACTTCTGTGCTTAACTTGCGTAACTGTTGAACCCGGTTCTCTACAAGCCCTGATTCATTTATGTAGAAACAACAGTCTTCCTTTAGAAACATACATGTACCACCTTTTTCAGCAGTGAGTAGGTCTAGGGCCCTCCGGTTCTGCAAGGTTACCTGAGCTAGGGGCGTGAGCTGTCGCTGAAGGGAGGCAAGGGACTCAGCCGACTCCTCCATAGCAACGGCAAATTGTTGGTATAACTTGTTGCTCTCTATGAGGGTGTGACCTAGGGCTGCCCCCGCCAGTCCGGCCGCAATGAGGGATGAGGTGAGGGAGATTCCCGCAATGAGGGGGAGAAATATGGCTCATGCAGGTCTCGGTCTAAGGACTGGGTGAATAGCAGTACTAGTCCAGTTACCGGTGTACCCCAGGAACTCGCCAGCAGTTAGTAGAGTCAACCGGGGAACTAATGTGACAGGAAGACACAGTAGGTTGGTAACAGAGGGACCAGATAGGTTCTTAGATAATGTTCCATTACACCAGAAGAATATGCCCGGCGGAGCCCTTAGGGTGGTACTAGGGGGCGTTGCAGTGATGTTGCAGAGGCTGGAATTAGTTCCTGAGAAACAGTAGGGAAACTTCTCCTGACTGGGGTTTAGGTATAGTGGCACATTAGGGATAGGGGCATATGAGAGGTTTCGGAGGTTGTTAGCTTGGGCAGAGGTAGAGGATCTCCATGGCAGAAGGACAGCGGTTAGCGGTGGACGCCCTAGAGTGGCACACAGAAAGCAGCCAGACAAGCTGTGAAGTCCTGTAAGGTTAGCAAGTTCTAATCCTTCTTGTAATAATTTTAACCAGGAGAAAGGACATAAGTCTTGTGTTAGTCTGTTTTCTTGTCATTGGATATTCCCATGGACCAGGGGCCGTACCTGCACTAGACCTCGCCACAGATAGAGGTGACTGCTAGGCCATGTGGAGGAGGAGGAGTAGTATACAGCCCCATGTTGAGGCGTGGTCCAGCGGGAGTTCCAGGGGTCTTTGACTCTCCATGTATAGGAAAAGTCCTTGTCCCGTCTACGGTGGAAGGGCCACTTAGGATCTAACTGTTCTTCCTTTCCCCAGTAATGGGATTTATGGATGTTACAATAGTTATAAGGGCAGCCGGCATTTTGGTGCCACCAATAGTGTTTACAATTGTATTTGGTCTGATCAAATTCAAAGCATATTATTGGTGCCATTGGTTTGGCTATTTGAAAACCAGTAAAATTTAGTAAAATTTGGCTATTGCACCCTGAGGAGGGACAATCAGCACTGGCCAATGATTTTCCGGGCTTATGAGGTTGCCCAGGGTGGGTTTGGTTTTCATAACGCCAGAATCTCCAGATAAAGGGATTAGGAGCTGGTTTTGTGTTTTCCCCAGTGGCCACTAGGGTGACTAATGTTAGGGTTAGACTACCTAACTGCATGTTTGCAGTGAGCTATGCTGCCGGTGCAGGGTGAGTTTTAAGGGGTTGTTCTTAGCTCTGTCCACAGTCCATGTGGCCAGTGCTTCAGCCGTCACCGTGATTGGCCCCAGAAGGTCGGAGGTTGGGTCCACGGGCTTGACGTGGGTGTAGTGGATCCACGACGCGATGCCTTCTACCTTCAGGGCAGTGGGTGCGGTTAGGAGTACCTGGAGTGGTCCCTTCCACTTGGGTTCTAGGGTCTCGTGTCGGTGTCGCTTAACCAGGACCCAGTCTCCCGGCTGGTACGGATGGGGTGTCGGTGGGGTACTGGTCTCATATAGTTCCTTCAGCTTGGGCCAGATTTCTTGATGAATTTTCTGCAAGACTTGTAGGGAAAATAAGAGTTCAGAGACATTTTCTGTTTCAGACTTGAGCAGATCATCTTTTAGGCTGGGAACCAGGGGTGGGGGTCTGCCATACATGATTTCGTAAGGGGTAAGGCCCAGTCTGTAAAGGGTATTACGGGCCCGGAACAGAGCGTAGGGGAGAAGGACCACCCAATTAGTGCCAGTCTCCATAGTCAATTTAGTTAAGGTCTCCTTTAAGGTCCAATTCATCCTCTCTACCTGTCCTGAACTCTGGGGCCTGTAAGCGCAATGTAGTTTCCAATTTGCCCCAAGGATGGAAGCCAAATCTTGACTTACCTTAGCGACGAAGGCTGGCCCATTATCTGACCCTATCTGGACGGGGAAGCCATACCTGGGGAGAATATCTTCCAGAATTTTCTTTGC